CCGGTATTTGCGACCACAACCGAGCTTGGAGGTTTTTCGCTGCCACCGTCACCCACAACCATCTGGTTGCCAACGAGTGTAGCTCAAGTCTCCAAATTTCATTGAACAGCTGCAGGGGTGCACAACTGCACATGGGTAACAATGATTTGAGAAAATCCGGGTACGTATTTAGTAAATATTTTGAAGTATTTATTAAGTATTAAGAAGTTGTATGTTACACTTATAGTTCATATTATTTCATATCGGTTACGTTGTGTAAGTGACGTCCATTAGCACTGTAAAGAACGATAATGTGCTTGTAGCACACAATGATTCTCCAGTAAGTATACAATAGGATATAAACTTATTTTTCAAAATATTAAATTATTAATAAAATGTTTTATATTTTTAGGTCTGGAATGTTCCGTGTCAATACTGGGAGAAATTATCCTTACTAAATTATTGAATGCAACTGTATCCGGAAACAAATTTGAATAAAACAACATCATGAAGCAGTTTCATATAGTTTTATTTTACATATTTCTCATATTTCATGTATAATAAATGAAATTGAAATTTTAATTTCTTTTATTTACATTTTAACTCTTCACCCATTTGGAAACTATATTCACCGCAAAAAGCCTCAACATCAATGCCCCTTTTAAATGGTTAAATGTTATGCCTTCGCCTTTGAACTACCAACAGGTTTGCAATTGTAAATACATGGGGCGCACTATAAGTTTCCGAAATGAATAAGAAAAAAATACTATAAATGGTCAGCAATGAATTTATTGTTTCTGAAAGCATTCTCAGTTAGCGTTAATGCACTTTTTCATACGAATGAACCAAGTTTGAAAACATTTATGGCACTCCTCCGTGACAATCTCTGAAACATATTTTTCATACTCTTCGATAGCCTCTTCAGGTGATGAAAATCGTTGACCGCGTAACTTATTTTTGTAAATAAATCTTTCGGTCCGCTAAAAGTCACACGGTGACAGGTCGAGACTGTACGCGAGATGGCTCATAAGGTCAACGTTGTTCACCTTCAAATAATAATAATAAAACCCTGTGTCGTGGGTGCCGTGGACACACACATAGATAACCACAAATTACACCTAAAAATTCATTTGTCTGTCTGGCATGTGAGAACTGGCATTATCGTGGTTCAAGATAATACGGCGTTTACGGTTATTTTTATGGAGTTTGTCAATACCTTCCGGCAAACAAATGGTCGTGTACCAATCACTATTCACGGTACAACGATTCTCCAAAGCAACAGTAGCCATGTGTCCAGTTTTATTTAAAAAAGAAGCAATCATCCGCTTAGAGGTACTTTGCACGCGCGTGCAATAAATCCAAGTTTCGTTACCTGTTACTATGTCCCACACAAAATTTGACGCCCCTTCATTGAATCTGGTAAGCATAGCATTGCAGCAAGCGACGCGATCCGTTTTTTGAGCCTCAGTCAAATTGTGTGGGATCCGTCGAGAGCACAGCGTTTTCACAACCAAATGTTTGTGTAGTATTGATTGTATTTGACTCATTCCTATGCCTAAAGATGCCCGAATCTCATGGTATGTCACATGCCTGTCTGCTTTAATCATACGGGGCACAGCCTCGACGTTTTTGTTGTTCACAGCAGTGGACGTGCGACCATCACGAAATTCGTCACTGAAACTCATACGACCGCGTTTGAATTCTGTAAACCAGCTATAAATAGTCATCTTGCATGGTGCTTCATCACCAAAAGCAGTTTGAAGCCAAGCGAAGCTCCGCTGAGCTGATAGGTTACACTTACAGTCGTAGAAACTCATACTAGGAAAATTTTCACGAGTTAAATCCATGGTGATGTAGACAACTAATTCCTAAAATGACGCCACAATGTAAAAGCAAGTGACAGTCAGATGAAACAAACTATTCTACAGCCAAAGAGTTCCATTTTCAAATGTTGTAATTACTTTTTAAATATTGTTTATGTAAGTCGCTAGTTCCGGAAACTTATAGTGCGCCCTATGTAGAAGTAATTGCATGCTACATTTATTATTTGAACGAAATATTAATTTACTTGCTACAGGTATTAATTTGTTTTGGGTAATGCGTAGTCCACTGTACCGTGAAAGTAATTAAAGTAATTTAACCACGCCCAAGTAAGTTTTATTTACCAACAATATCTAATAAATATTAACGAAATTTATTTTTAATTTATTTCTGTCAGTACTATTCAACAATTTATGTAGAGAAGTGTGAACAAATACATTTCGTAGTGTAATTTACAAAAGGATCATCTTTCCTCTAAAGAATGCTGTGAGGCTTATGTATAGTCTTCTGAAGAGATAATTACGGATAATCTTAATAGTTTAGGTCTTTTTTAAAGTCGGAAGATGGGGGTCAGTGCGAGTGTCCTGGAACAATAACAAATTCACAGAATTAAAATTTGAATTCACAGTTCTTTTTGCAGATGGCAATGGGATAATATATAATTTATTGGTTGCACAATTTGCGTTGGTTTATCGGGATATAGGAAGCAATTTGCTGAGTCCTTTTTCTGAATCTATGCAGCATTTTAACCTTAGCAGTACACGTATCTATTTCTGATACTCGTGATGCAGTGTCAGATAAATTAAAAACATTAGATGTCAATTAGAGCGAAGTTCCGAAATCTATTTCTTCGGTTTTCTTCGCTAACTGTGCTGATGGGTTACATGTTTGGCACTTTGTGATCTCGATCGCTTTTTGTACCAAACATGGTACGTAGTGACGTTTCGTCGACAGTACTTGGAGACTATGTGGTTAGTGTCATTTTGTGTGAGACGTTCCATAGCTGTCTATTGTGCATCATTGTACACATCATTATCTAAAACACCTACAAGTCATTAACTAACAAACCATACCACCTGCTACAAGAACAAGGATCACATAAAGGCGGTTTTGCGACAGAATGGATATGGTGTGAGTTAAAATTATTTCCATGTATAGACACAAAAAAGGGGGCTGGGCCATCTGTTGATAATATCAGAAAAATCAACTTTAAACTAATGTTACACTTATCATGGGTGTAGAGCCAACTAACTTTATCTCTGTCTTTGTGTAGTATTTGTTGGGTGTGATATGAGTGTTACTGTTGAGTATCGTCTTGTATGTGTAATTACAGCTAGCTGGCTATACATGAAATGGCAAGGGGAAGCTGTGATCGATCACAAACAACCCTACGACCCTACCTAACAGCCTAGCCCTAACCATACACTACTATACATACACATATATACATACATAGATAGGTAGAGGAAGCCTGTTATCATGCGACCTAAGGTAACAGACGGAAGGTGGGAAGGACAAGCGGTGCAAGGAGTGTATTTTCTCACTGCCAGTCTCACAGACTCACAAGACTGATCAGATAAGCTGACGGCTAACGGTGTCTTGGCCGCAGTGAGAGGATGCTGTAGTCAGGAGAGTTCCGTCGTCGTCAATGAGACAGCGTTACTAACTTTAACTAGACTATTTATACAGATTTTATTTACATGTATTTTATTATATTTATATTATATTTGACAACAACCTCAGATTCAATAGACACATTCGCGAGGTTGCACGTAGACTAAGGAAATTGATTTACATCTTCAAACAGCTTCGTTATATTGCTGATAGCAGACTTATGAGAATCGTGTATCTAGCACTGGCGCAATCTATCATATCATATTGCATTACATCCTGGGGTGGAGCCACTAAGTCTGCGATGATGGAATTGGAAAGAGCACAGAGAGTGTTGCTGAGAGTATGCTTGTTTAAGCCGCGAAGATTTCCAACGACGCAACTTTATCACGATGCAGATGTTCTCTCTGTTCGTCAAATTTATATTCTGCACACGGTACTTCGACAACACTCTAATATACGTATTGATAATTACATTAGAGTGTCCACGGCTAGAAGATCCTATGCAGTATGTAAGACAAATAAGGTCTGTACTTCCTTTGCTTCGAGGTTTTATCATTTTAGGAGTGGGAGATTGTACAATTTTATAAATAAAAAATTAAATATAGTAAATGCATGTAAAAACACAAACAAAAATAAAATAACTAAATGGCTTAAGGTACAGAATTACGACGAAACCGAAAGAGTACTTGAAATATTAACATAGTTATAAAATATGTACTACCTAATAACTTGTTTCGCGCCCGGGCAAGCAAACACACACGCACACACACACACACACACTCTCACACACACACACACACACACACACACACACACACACACACACACTCACACACGTCATACATTTTGTTAATTGTTAAGTGCTTACGTTTCAAGTCACCATTATTTCCGTGGTGGGGGGGCCTGGAAGCTATAGCACAGGTTTCGACCTAGTTTAGATTCCAAGTTCCTCACAAACTATAATTAACTATACAACTAGTACTTATTAATATATGTAACAAGAATTTTGTAGTTTGTGATGGTACAAATAAACTATTTTTCATTTTCATTTTTCATGTATGCGTGTAAATCTTCAATACAATTTTTAAATATTAAACAAAGGAAACGTCCACTCAGTAGACTGGTCTTGCACATTGCTATTCGGTCAGTGCACTGCTGAGTAGCCTATTATCGTCACGTGGTAATTTATGTCTGGTCAGGTTGTCTGTTCATGTCACGTCAACGTGAACAACGGGAATGGTTCAAAGTCCAAAAATTAAAACCCAGCGTTCTCTGAACTGTTCCTGCCGATAAGTTTTGAAGTCTCGTATTGAACTTGCCCTTAGAATATGTAGTTTCTGTACTTTAAATAGCATAGCATGTTTTGTTTATTTATTTTACTAACAATATACCAATTACACAAATTACGCAAAATTTGCTCACAGAACTCTAAAATGCAATATCAATGTAATGTCATGTGTTGATAAATGTTATTTATTCCTTGATTGAGCAATTTCGATACCAACCAGCATCTAATTCTAGCTGTGTTGAGGTACACATTTCAGCTTTATTATCAGGCTAATTATCCAAAAAGTAATGATAACAATAAGCCAATCAAATTTTATGAATGATATTTAAACAGTGATTTAGTTTATAGTTTGAAGTGGACGTCAGCAGACCCCACGTGACGCATTACAATGAAGGTCTTCCTGATTTTAATTGTGACGGGTAAGTACTATTAGGAAATATAATAAATAAAACAATACTATTTGAATACGTACGGACGTAAGTATCGCCGTTTTCAGCAACACTCTTGAGGATTCAAATTCAATTGTGCAAATGTATTCATGCTATGAACATAACACCTTTGGTCCATAAAATGTAAGACGAGCTCAATGACAAAGTCTCCATTTGAGAAGATTTTCTTGTCGACCTGTTACTAATAATTACGAATAACTTAAACTTTAATTAATAGCACATATCGCTTTGGCGTTGCCTGTCGAAGGACAGAGACCGGAACATTCACGGTTCATAGAAATGCTTGACGATCAAGGCAATATGCATCTAGTAGATTTGGAAGCGAAGCCCGATTTGAAAGCCATCGAAAAACTCACAAGAAACCCTAACAATAACGTCTACTTATTGTATACCAGGTAGGTAATTACAGATTTATTACAATCCTAAGAACACATTAAATTAAACCTCTTTGTAAATCCGGATTAAAATTTGTAATTTATTTCAATGCAATTTGAAACCACTTGAACAAGTCCATACCAGCAGTGCTTAATTTTACAGAAATTACTTTGATATAATTAGACGATGAATTGGCCATAGATATAAGCCCGCGTACCATAGTTTAGCGTGAATATGACAGTAATTTTTATATTTCAGACGTAATCAAATCTTTTCTCAAACTCTTGTGATGAACGATGAAAATTCGATTATAAACTCGAACTTCAACCCGAATGATCCCACAATAGTAATTGTCCATGGTTGGATCAGCAGCAGAGACTCAGAGCCTAACCCTACAGTTAGAAGCGGTAAGTACTTAAAATTTTCCCAAATCTGTACGATAGCATTAGAAACGAGACAAGTTGCGAGTCATTTTCGTTTTTGAAAAATCGCTTATCTATACTCCGGACTTCCAGACATTGATCAATCATCGCGAACACTTAAAATGATGATCTACACATGTGCAGATAATCATTTTTGATCTAACGTACAAGTGTAAAAAAATTATCTCTTTTACGTTGGTTTTGTATACAAAAACCAAATAGCAAGTAGCGACACAGACGTCCGTGACGTCACTCCGTCTTCGTGACGTCGTTATATACTTTCACGTTCCAGCTTTCCTGTCTACTTCTGATGTAAACGTCATCACTGTATGCTGGAGAGATTTAGCATTTCGCGATTACGTGACGGCAGCGCACGGAGTTCCCGCTGTCGGACGCGGAATTGGACAATTCCTTATCTTCTTGAACAGAGTAACGGGAGCCAGATTTGATCAGATGCACTTGATAGGGTTCAGTTTGGGTGCCCATGTTGTGGGTAACGCTGGAAGAGAAACTGGTGGCAGAGTTGCCCGTATTACTGGTGAGATTTTTCTTTTCTTTTCATTCGCTCATTATGTTTTTCTTCAGTGTTTCTAATATATTTTAATTGTTATAAAATAATATAGGGTTGGATCCTGCTGGCCTTCTATGGCACTACAGCAGCGAGCGTCTAAGCGCCAATGACGGTGTTTACGTTGAGGTAATCCACACGGACGCAGGTGTGCCTGGATCGGGTATTGGTTTACCCATCGGTCACGTTGACTTCTTCCCCAATGGCGGCGTTATGCAACCTGGATGCATCACTAACCTTTGCAACCATGACCGTGCTTGGCAACTGTTCGCAGTTAGTGTGACCCACGGTCACTTGTTTGGTAGACGGTGCCTTACTATGCTCCAGGTTACCACAGACTTATGTACTTCGGATATACTTCAACTGGGTAACGACAATCTAAGGAAAACGGGGTAAGATTGAATTTAGCATAAATAAAATAAATAAGTTATTGCAAGTACACAAAAGCTATTTTTTCCCATATTTTGAAGGAAGTTTTTGCATTATTAAGCCGTATGTGGGCCATCATGCAACTTGCTGATGTCGATTTTAACAAGACGAAGCTTTAGATACCAACCTAATACGTTTTCTTTTGTTTTTATTTCAGAAGCGGCATGTATAGAGTAAACACCGGCAGTAGATATCCATTTTAATAAAATTTGTCAAAACTCTGTTATTACAATGTTAATAAGTAAAGGCTATGAAATCAACATAAATTATAGTATGCATTTTGTTGTTTATGTTGAATCTATTTTGTATTATTTTTTTAAGTATTGCCAACTACCCATTTTTTTTGTTTTTTTGGTTGCCTGGTAGAGATTGTTCCCTGGTATTAAATAAGTCCACCATATGGACAGAACTATATTAGTGTGCAATAAATTTTAGATAAATTAATATTGTCATTATTATGACAAAAGAAATAACCTAACTTTCCTTATAGTTACCTATATAATGCTAAGGAATATCACAGTCAAATCACGTTATGTTATGTGATATAAAATATTACTGTACTCGTACATTTTCAGTTTCGTTCTGCGTACCGGGGAGTACCTGTACCAATGGCAAACTTTACATGGCTTCGTTCAACCACCATAGAAAACTATCGACCAATATTCACTCTTTCACTTTACTTTACTCATTCACGATTCACTCTTCGACAACTAAGGTGTTCGAATCTATAGTGAACGAACTAGAGTCACAAATGAAACTCAATTTCCCTGACTCACAACATGGTTTTAAGCCGAGGCGATCGATCGAAACAAACCTGGGGGCTTATCATGACCTTTCCAAAAACAATCTTATTTCAATGTACCTAAGCTTAAAGTAAGCTTATTATAATATTACTCATATTCGTACCATAACAAACCTGTCAAACAAGTAATGTAGTAATGCTAAAGTGATTGAAAGAACGAATGATTTCCCAATATGTTTATTCCTTACTTTGTTTTTTTTTTAGTATATATAAACCTATTCCTTATTTTTAAATAGGAAAGAAATAACGCTATATGAACTATATTATGCCGTTTTTTTCTTTTTTGATGTTCCGAATCGCCTTGGTGGGGCAGACATTTGACGCTTGCGCCAAATCGGATAACAGCTCGGTGACGAATTTGCGATTACTATCAATTTAAGGTCGGCGGGGTGAACAGGCGGCACCAACTTACTATAATAGCATCATTTAGGAGTTTTAAGGTGGACTTACTGTGTTTGCCACTAAGGATTTTGGTTCCAATTCATCATATCTAGCTAATAATAAATTTTAAAGCATGCAGTGTTGCGGTTGCACGAGCAAGATTGAACGTGGTGAACGTCTTTCTTGTATTAACTGCAAGGGTCTCTACCACTACCAATGTTTAAACGTAACGTCAGCTGATTTCCGTGAGAATGGAAATCACCTAAAACTTACATGGCAGTGTCCGACATGCATAAATCTAACACGTCGACAGCGCAATGATTGTACACCTATTCGTAATTCTGCGATGTTATCCGATAAACTTGTGGGCAATACAAGGGAGTTATGGCGAGAAATCGACAGCCCGGGCAGCTCCAGCTTGTCTGTTACGAATACAGATAAGTCAAAAATCTCATACGATGACTTAAGTTAATTGTTGGATTCGAAACTTGGCAAAATTGAAGAATCATTGACCCGAAATATAAGAAACTCTATTAAAGAGGAATTCACCTGCGCTATAGAAAAACTAAAACAGGAATTTACACAAACGACTGACTTCCTAGCTGCGGAGCAGGTGGATCTAAAGAAGGATATAAAGATAGCAAATGATAAAATCAAATGTTTAGAAACTGGGAGTTTTAAAATTTCAAAAGAGTTGTTACTTGTAGGAGGACGTTTGCGCAATTTAGAAAAGAGCTCACGCAGCTGCAACCTAGAAATCCTATCAGTGCCAGAAGGAAAGCAGGAGAATCTCGTAAATGTAATGAAAAAACTGTGTTACGAGATAGGTGCGAGTTTAACATATGTTGTGCTCGGAGAGTCGCAACAAAGTAAACCGTCTGTCAACCGCCCTAGAAACGTTCTAGTAACGCTCGCATCAGAACGCCAGAGAAATGATATATAATGTCTGCATTCAAAAACTACAAATAACACTCATAAACCAGATTTTCTGAATTCAATGCATCTTGACATCCCTAAATCTATGTGAAAAAATCTATGTCATCGAACATCTCCCGCCTGAAACAAAGGAGCTGTATGCAGTAACTCGCAGGACCTCAAAGGAGCGTTCCTATAAGTACGTGTGGGTAAAATATGGCATGATATCTCGTATGTTAGGAAAGATGATGGCTGCGCACCTATACATATATTGGATAAAAATTGTTTGGTCCGCCCTCCTTAGACCAAAATGTCGTATCATTATAACATATACATACTGTATAATCAGTAGTATTTCAATGTTTCTCATATTTTACATATTTAATTATCCGAATAAGTTATACAAGTACTCGCTCTTTTTTGCATGCAATATAAGCGATCTTTCGATTCTGTTAATGATGTTTATTTTTCCAATTCGTTTTTATAATGTCTTCGTTAGAGTAGCAGTGTTATCTTTGCGAATGTATGTTCCAATGCTACCTATTATATTATTATTGCTTAAGTATACATGTTAATTCTGTCTTGTTAGAATCATAAGATATTATTATATGGATCAGCTTTGTAACTTTTCTAATGGTTGGTTAAAAAGTGAATTTAAAAATAGCTACTCTTAATATGCAATCGCTTAATACAGGTAGAGACGAGTTGGTGAAGACTATTGACGGATACAATCCTGACATTGTGACAATTACAGAAACCCGTCTAAATAGTTCACCTAAGATTGATCAATACAGCGTTCCTGGATACAATTTTTACAGTAAACCGCGTGGTACTGGGCAAAAACGCGAAGGAGGAGGTGTGAGATTCTATGCACACGGTGGGTTATGTGTTGGGATTATAAATACTTCATCAAATGATCTTGAATAGCTTTGGTTAAAAATGAAGGTTAATAAGCGATCCATTGCCGTAGGAGTTTTAGAAAACTCGACGATCCGAAACTCGACGACAAATTTAACAAAGGCTGCTGTCTAGACTGTCTCGGCGATGCTGTGTGTTTTATCTCCACAGCACGATTACGTATTCCTTGCAGGTGATATTAATTTGAATTTATTAGAACCTACACTGTCTAATCAGAGTGCTTTCCTCAGCTTGCTGTGTGAATATAACTTTGAATTGGTTGTAACTGAGGCAACACTGGTTACTAGAACTACAAAAACCCTGCTAATGTCATATGTAGTCCTATAGAGCTACATGCAAAATCCGTTAATGTTCTCCATAATGATGACCTCAGTGACCATGCTTTCGTGTTAGCTCAGTTTGATATAAGGGTTCCTAGACCATCGCCGAGGATTGTTACCTACAGACCTTTTAATCATTTTGATATAGATACGTACAGATATGCTTCATATATTACTCCGTGGGAATGGGTCACACAGTACGAGGAAGTTGAGGACATGGTGAAATGCTTTAATTTTCTTCTCCTCGGGTTTTTTGATCATTTTATGCCTGTAAGATGTAGGGTGTTTCGAAAGTCACCTACTCTATGGGTTACGCTGACGCTATCAACAGGTCATTTCTGGATTCTGTTCCTTGATTGAGTTTCTGAACTTTGACTCTCCTGAGCGCCAGGAGGAAACAGTTTTGCATTATCATGTTAATAATAAGTTCAGTTTCCATGAATTAAAAAAGACGAAATTCTTAAGATAGTCAACTTAAATAAACTTACTTTTAACGCTGTTGGCAATGATGGAATATGCATTAAAATGATAAAACTTACTCTGCCGTATTCGATCACTGCTATATTGAATAAGTCGCTACAGACTGGCATATTCCCATTTTTGTGGAAAATGGCGCTTATGAAACCAATTCCAAAAAAGCCGATTGTCAATAGTGTTAGTGATTTGAGACCTATTGGTTTATTAAGTGTTCTATCGAAGTTGTCCTGCATTAAGTTTTCATTGCCGCACATGTACGCAGATAACACTCAATTGCTCATGACATTAAATCTTGATAGGAAGAAATTGGTCAGTCATGGAATCGGTAAGTCTGCTGTCAGCTGCTTAATCGAGATCTAGAGTCTATAGTCGAATGGTCAAAGAAAAATGGACTATTACTAAATGCTGGGAAGTGTTCTTACATGGTCATCGGTACTATTGCGGATTAATAAATTAACGAATCTGTTAATATGAACAATTTAGGCCTCGTAATGGATGGCGCACTTAAATCTGAGCAACACGTTGATCGCAAAATTGCCACCTGTTATTCAGCTAAAACAGCTATACAAGCTAAGACCATTTTTAAACACGTCCGTGCGGCTTAGACTATCCGATGCCCTAGTATTGTCTAATTTGGATTATTGCGACGTAGTCTACGGACCATGTCTATTGAAGAAAACGGAGAAGATTCAGCAGGTTCAGAATTCTTGTGTCCGATTTTGCTATCAGTCCCTCCACGCTCTCATATTACCCCTTTTATTAGTTCTTTTGGCCTTTTAAATATGTCCAATAGGCGTCATTTAAAATTGAATTGTCTGATAATTAACCTGAGATGTTACGGTGTGATAATAAATTGTGCTGGAATGACAGAGAAGGATCAGACTCGGTCAACGCGCTACCCAGTGCTACAATTTCGCTCGTTTCCTCGGTTACACTCCCTCAGGGGAAGCTTTCGGTTTGCTTCGTCTAAATGTTGGAATGACATTCCACCCCCGATTAAACTTAGCCAGTCATTGCACACTTTCAAAAGAAAGTGTAAGCTATGGCTACTTAACATACAAAAATCACAATGTTGCTGGACTAAATTGTTATCGTGATTGCACTACAACGTAGCAAATCGTTTTTTTGTTTTAAGTTTCTCTTAAATTGCTTTATTTTAAGTTTGTATCCGATATTTAACGTTCTTTTACATGTAATATTTTAAGCATGTCTTATAAATTTAAATTTTAATTCCTGTGATGATTGACAATTGTCAGCAGCGAATGTCTATGTATAAAGGTGGAACCTGAAAAGCAGCAGTAGTGCTGAGGTTCCATCCTTTTCATTGGCACTAGGATCCATATTTCCGAAACTCTTTATTGTTATCCATTTTATTGTGAACGTGCTTATGAATAAATATCTTATTATTATTATTATTATTATAGAATAATGTTTAAGTACAACAACATCTACAATAATAATAATAATAATACTTAACAAACTTCACAA